ACAGACTTAAGATGAGAGTGAAAAAAGGGTAAACAATTCCAGTAGGTACAATACATCTGATAAGGCATGTTGCCAGATCATCTCTTTCTATTTTTTTTTTCCAGATTCCTGTTATAGTCACTACTTTCTATCATTGAATTGTTGGACATGATCAAAATAGAAATTAAATTTTCAGTGAAATGAATATGTCTTGTCATTTGTCTTTTTTTTTCTTTAAATAGAATTGATTATCTGAAGAAATGGATACGTCTCCCTCCAAAAAATATCCAGTTAAAAAACGGGTGAAAATACATCCTAACACAGTGATGGTGAAATATACTTCTCATTATCCCCAGCCTGGGGATGATGGATATGAAGAAATCAATGAAGACTATGGAAATTTTATGGGAGAAAATCCAAAGAAAGGTCTGCTGAGTGAAATGAAAAGAAAAGGAAGAACTTTCTTTGGAACCATGGATACCCTACCTCCACCAACAGAAGACCCAATGGTCAATGAGATTGGACAGTTCCAGAGCTTTGCAGAAAAAAATATTTTTCAATCCCGAAAAATGTGGATAGTGCTGTTTGGATCTGCTTTGGCTCATGGATGTGTAGCTCTTATCACTAGGCTTGTTTCCGATCGTTCTAAAGTTCCATCTCTAGAACTGATTTTTATCCGTTCTGTTTTGCAGGTCTTATCTGTGTTAGTTGTGTGTTACTATCAGGAGGACCCCTTTGGACCCAGTGGATACAGATTACGACTCTTCTTTTATGGTGTATGCAATGTCATTTCTATCACCTGTGCTTATACATCATTTTCAATAGTTCCTCCCAGCAATGGGACCACTATGTGGAGAGCCACAACCACAGTCTTCAGTGCCATTTTGGCTTTTCTACTTGTAGATGAGAAAATGGCTTATGTTGACATGGCTACAGTTGTTTGCAGCATCTTAGGTGTTTGTCTTGTCATGATCCCCAACATTGTTGATGAAGACAATTCTTTGTTAAATGCCTGGAAAGAAGCCTTTGGGTACACCATGACTGTGATGGCTGGACTGACTACTGCTCTTTCTATGATAGTATATAGATCCATCAGGGAGAAGATCAGCATGTGGACTGCACTGTTTACCTTTGGTTGGACTGGGACAATTTGGGGAATATCTACTATGTTTGTTCTTCAAGAACCCATCATTCCATTAGATGGAGAAACTTGGAGTTATCTCATTGCTATATGTGTCTGTTCTACTGCAGCATTCTTAGGAGTGTATTATGCCTTGGACAAATTCCATCCAGCTTTGGTTAGCACAGTACAACATTTGGAGATTGTGGTAGCTATGGTCTTGCAGCTTCTCGTGCTGCACATATTTCCTAGTGTCTATGATGTTTTTGGAGGAGTAGTCATTATGATTAGTGTTTTTGTCCTTGCTGGCTATAAACTTTACTGGAGAAATTTAAGAAGGCAGGACTACCAGGAAATATTAGATTCTCCCATTAAATGAATACCTGATTATTATTATCTCATTAATGTTCAGTTATTAATATGTATACTGCCATTTAAATGTTTACCTATTAATGTCTTTTGTGTTATATAACTGAGAGTGCTATATAATATATATATAGAAATGCAGAAAAGTTATTCTAGTCTAATATATTCAAATACAAATATTAAATAGATGAAATATGTCATTAATTTGGTATCTTTGTTGATATTTATAGATGTCTTTCCAGGCAAATTGTAGTAGAATGTTAACTGCTATCACTAAAGAATAGAAGACTCAAAGAAATGACCCCTTTTAGATGCAACTGAAGTTCAAAAATTAGAAAAATGTCCATGACCAATGTTCTACAAATCCTCAACAAAACTCCTTCATTTGTGAAAAATACACTATAAGGTGAGACGTTGAACACCAAACCCTGTTTTGTCATCTACTTGCATTAGAAAACTAGATGTCATAGGGCTGGGTCAGGGAGGCTGAGCTGAGGCAAGAAAAGAGGAAACGAGGGAAAAGAAGTGGTTTTTTTAATGACAGTGGGTGGTTATCCAAAGTTTGAATAAGTTACCCTTATTATGGCCACAGTAGGTGATATATAGGAAATAGAAATAGGGAGAAGTGTGGATTCTTGCCAGCCTTTCCTAGCCCATGCCACTTTGAGCCTGATGGTCAGATACCTAATGTTGGGGTAGGGTCTGCTTATCCTCAGTTATGTGGATCTGTTCCAAGGCTGACCTCGTTTATGAATTTGTGGCAAGTATATGTGTGAGCTGCAGTAAAGATACTCCTTACTTCTGAAAAAGGCACCAACAGTAATCATAGTATAGAAGAAAATTGACATGGTATCCTGAGATTCTTGTCAAAAAGGTCTAAAAGTTTGTAAAAGCATATATGATGGCATTAAGTCTAATTTTGGCCATTCTTACCAATTTAGCACAAACAAACGATATGGTACTGGTTATTAAACTATTGTCTCAGGTTCACATTCCTCCTTCTGTACTTTCCTCTGTAATGCTATGGCTCAAACCCTGCAAACTACATTTTTTTCTATACCAGGTGGTGTCTCACTAGATTCCATCAATAAAGGGCATTAGAGGGAGACTGGAAGGCAGAAGGGAAGAGGGGACTTCCTCCTTTCCATTTGTTTGCAGTTTCTGTCATTGTCATCCCAGCAATAAGCAAGAGCCCTTTGCTCTAGCAGCAGCAATTGATTTCATCCTTGAGCTTCTTTTGACATCCTCCCTACCCCCAACTAGCCTTCTCCGAAGTAGTAGGACCAGACAGACGGCATCCTCTCACGGGTCTGAGCAATAGCTCAGCCAGGTTATTTGTCTGAGTTTCTGAAATCTGATAGTCCACCTTGATTCCCCCTTTTCACTAGATCTAGCATTGGTAGCTGCTCCCTGCAGTTATCACCTCTGGGTGACCTCAGTGTTCTCTTTTTGCTTTTTCAGTCAATGAAAACACAATACTAAATCCACTCTGTAGTAATATCTCCTAATTTCTGATTTCCTAATATATCTCCAAACCTTCCCGAAAGGAATCTATAGCTATCAGCAGGCTACTGTGCTTTGGGAAAATGTCAACATTTAGATTTTTCAGGGATTATTAGATAGTGGCCCTTAATAGGAATTATGCAAACTAAAACACAGAAAAAGATTAGGAAAAAAAGAATGAACAAAGCCTGAATGACCTGTACTAAGTACGGAGAAGTCTAGCATGAGTGTAATTGCAGTCCCAGAAGAGGAGAAACAAAGAATGGGACAGAAAAAAAACCTTTGAAGAAATACTAGACAAAAGTCTTTCTTTCTTAAAGAAAATGAGAAAACAGCAACGTACAGATCCAGGGCATAAAATGAACCCCAAGCAGGATAAATACAAAAACAAAAACAAAACAACATCATACTGTAATGAAACATCACAGTGTAACTTTTGATAAATATAAAGAAAACCTTAAAAGCATTCACAGAAAAAGACACCTAGAAACATCACAGTGTAATTTTTGGTAAACAAATATAAAGAAACAAAATCTTAAAAGCATTCATAGAAAAAGACATAAGACATACAAGAAAACAATGATAAGAATTACAACCAGTTTCTCACGAAACAATGGAGGCCAGAAAACAAGAGAATGACATCTTTAAAGCGCTGAAAAACAAAAAACCTTTGATGGCTTCTCATTGCCTGTAGGATAAACTCTAAGGTGCTTGACTTCCATAACCTGGCTATTGATGATATTTCTAGCTATCTTCTGCCCTAGCAATATTCTGCCATTTAATGCCTTTTTATTATGCAGGCTCCTCTACCTGAACAGCTCTTTTCTAGTTAATTGCCTGACTAACCTGACCACACAACTCCTTTCCCCTGTGGCTTACTGTTCTTGCACATACCTATTTTTGTATTTACAATACTAATAACAAATATCTGTTTACATCTCATTCTCTGACACTGGTTTGGGCACTGTTTTTTTGAGACGAAGTCTTACTCTGTCACCCAGGCTGGAATGCAATGCCTTGATCTTGGCTTACTGCAACTTCTACCTCTTGGGTTGAAGCGGTTCTCCTGCCTCAGCCTCCTGAGTACCTGGGATTACAGGCACATGACACCATGCCTGGCTTATTTTTTTGTATTTTTAGTAGAGACAGGTTTTTACCATGTTGGCCAGGCTGGTCTCAAACACCTCAGGTGATCCGCCCACCTTGGCCTCCCAAAGTGCTGGGATTACAGGCATGAGCCACCGTGCCCGACCTGAGCACTTTTAAGGTACACTGCTGATGGCTGTAGATTGGTACCTACCACAGAGCAGACCCTTAATTAATTTTGTTAAATTAATTCCCATAAAAATATAACAATACTTGTCTGGGCAATCCCATGCCTGCAATCCCAGCACTTTGGGAGGCCAAGGTGGGCAGATCACCTGAGGTCAGGAGTTTGAGACCAGCCTGGCCAATATGGTGAAACCCTGTCTCTACTAACAATACAAAAAAATTAGCCGGGAGCTGTGGCAGCTGCTTGTAATCCCAGCTACTCGGGAGGCTGAGGCAGGAGAATCACTTGAACCCAGGAGGCGAAGGTTGTAGTGAACTGAGATCATGCCACTGCACTCCAGCCTGGGCAACAGGGTGAACTCCGTCTGAAAAAGATCAAAAATAATATAACAATACTCAATCTAGAAATTAAATTTAGGCTGGGTGCCTAAATTCATGCCTGTATTCCTGGCTATTTAGAAGGGAAGCCAAAGTGGGAAGATGGCTTGAGGCCAGGAGTTTGAGGCTGCAGCAAGTAATGATCATGTCACTGCACTCCAGCTGGGGTGACAGAAGGAGACTCTGTCTCTAAATAAAAAGAAATTACATTTGGTTACCAGGGCCCACTAATTTCTATACTTCAGCGTTGAGCCTGAACATAACTGAGCGTGATCAGTTATGTCTTGCTGATTGGTAGATAGGACTTTTTTGAGGAGGTCATAATCATTCCTTCCTGACAGTAATGCTAAACTATTCTCTGTTTTGTAACATTTTTTTTCCCCTGGGTGCCAAATTTCTTTATTTGAAGGAATGGTACAAATCAAAGAACTTAAGTGGATGTTTTGATACAACTTACAGAAAAGGTAAAGGAAACCCCAACATGCATGCATTGCCTTGGTGACCAGGAAAGTCACCCTATGACTATGGGGAAATTAGCCTAAGACTTAGCTTTCATTATCATTGCCTCCCAGGATGTGCTTGTCAAAGAGATACTCTGCCAAGCCAGATGCGGGTGCTCCCATCGTTCGAAAGTTGGTCACGTGGTCACCCAATTCTTTGATGGATTTCACCTGCTCATTCAGGTAATGTGTCTCAATGAAGTCACACAAATGGAGGCCATTTTTGTCAGTGGCCAGTTTGTGCAGTTCCAGTAGTGACTGATTGACATTTTTTTTCCAAACGTAATGCACACTCCATTGCATTCAGCCCGCTCTCCCAGTCATCGTGGTCTGGTTTCTTGATATCTTGAAGATTCGGCTACTTCGTTGGTTCTGCAGCTTCATCACTTTGTCAGCGTGTTCACCCTCTCCATGAGATTGCTGAAGAAAGATTTGGCAAAGTTCTTCAAAGCTACATCATCAAAAGTAGTAAGATATGACAGGCAGACGTAAGAGGCATAGAGCTCCAGGTTGATCTGGCGGTTGATGGCGGCTTCTGAGCCCTGGTGGTAGTTCTGCTGCACCTGCCAGACGGACGCGGTCGTCGTGGCGGCGGCTGTGCGGCGCTGGAGCGGTGACTGGGGCCTTGGGGCAGTCTGAGGGCGCGGTGAGGAGGTGAGGGAGGGCTGGCTATGGGCGGCCGGCCGGGGTGGGGGATGAGCGCCGGGTTCTGTCCAAGCACTATTGAAGCAGGAAACGGCGGTGTCTCTCTGTTTTTTTTTTTTTGAGGCAGTCTCACTCTGTTGCTCAGACTAGAGTGCTAGTGCAGTGTTGCCCAGGCTAGAGTGCAAGTGCACTGCACCTTCACCTGCCGGGTTCAAGCCATTCTCTGCCTCAGCCTCCCTAGTAGCTGGGGTTACAGGTGACTGCCACCACCACGCCTGGCTAATTTTCGTATTTTTTAGTGAGACAGGGTTTCACCATGTTGGTCAGGCTGGTTTTGAACTCCTGACCTCGTGATCCACCTGCTTGCCCTCCCAAAGTGCTGGGATTACTGGCCTGAGTCACTGCGCCCAGCCTCTCTATAACAATTTCTAACTATAAACTATCAGGTTTTTGGGAAAGGTCTTCACATGGAGGCTCATTTTTCCTTTGTGTTCCCAAATTCTTTTATTTGGGATTAATAAAGTAAGCCACCTGCATTTTTTCAATCATAGACAGATTAGCTGCCCATATCTGAAGCTCCACCTATAGTCCATAGATAAGTTTTGTTTTCGTTTTGAGATAGGGTCTCACTCTGTCACCCAGGATGGAGTGCAGTGGTGTGATCAAAGCATCTTGCAGCCTCAAATTCCTGGGCTCAAGCCATCCTCCCCCCTCAGCCTCCAGAGTGGTTGGGACTACAAGCCCATGCCACTATGGCCAGCTAATTTAAAAAAATTTTTTGGCCGGGCGAGGTGGCTCACGCCTGTAATTCCAGGGCTTTGGGACACCGAGGTGGCTGGATCACAAGGTCAGGAGATAGAGACCATCACAAAAATTAGCCGGGCGTGGTGGTGTGTGCCTGTAGTCCCAGCTACTCAGGAGGCTGAGGCAGGAGAATCACTTGAACCCGGGAGGCAAAGGTTGCAGTGAGCTGAGATCACTGCACTCCAGCCTGGTGACAGAGAGACTCTCGTCTCAATTTTTTTTTTTTTTTTTTTTTTTTTACAGTGAGACCCTGACTCAAAAAAAAAAAAAACCGAAAACTTTAAATAGAAGCTCACTGTGGCACCTTACATAATAGGAAAAAGCTTTTTTTTTTTTTTTAATTTAAGAACTAGAGAAAGGAAGAAAAAGAATTAAAAAAAAAAAAAAAGAAAAAGAATAAAGGAAAGGAAGAAAGAGGAAGAGGAAGAGGGAGAGAGAACAGGGGTGTTGCTCTATTGCCCGGGCTAGAATGCAGTCTAAAACTGGGTATGCCTGTAATTGTATTTAATAATAGAGACATAAAAAAAAAAAAAAAAAAGAGGGAAGAAAATAATTAACAAGCAGCCAACCAATATTTCATTTAAACCTGTAAATACGTGTGATGTGGTACTGATAAGAGTGTATATTTTGTGTATTTAAAGTGGAGAGTTCCATGAATGTTAATTAAGTCTACTTGTTCCAGATCTGAGTTCAAGTCCTGGATATCAATGTTAACATTCTGTCTCATTGATCTAATATTGATGTTGAAGTCTCCCGCTATTATTGTGTGGGGGTCTCACTCTGTCACCCAGGATGGAGTGCAGTGGTGTGATCATAAAATTTTTTTTTAATTGTAGCTCTGTTGCCAGGGTCAATCACAAGTTTTGACTTACATTTTCTTGTTGCCTGATTGTGGTTAGTCCCTGATCCTCTCAGCACTAATTAGCAAGTTTGATTCCTGTTTTTGGTTTGAGTTCCCCTGAAAGACAGGAAGCAGCAGCCATGTGCATGTTTATATTTGGAAGTTAGGGAGACAGACTGTGTGAAAGGAAGTCTCTGGGACAGCTCCCACCTCATGAAAACATGAACTGCATCCCTTCTAATTTCAATTTCATATATGCCTTTCTGCCTATCTGCCCTTCCAGTCTATGCTTTCCTTTTTCATTGCTGTTTCCTTATTTTTCTTCTTTGACTTGTCTTTTGCATATATTTTTGGAGGTTTCTTAAATTATTTCTTAACAGTACCTGGTAAGAATGAGTGATGAGGAAGATTAAAGAAGAAAAAGTAAGAGGATAAACTGACTGGGTACAGTGGCTCACGCCTGTAATCCCAGCACTTTGGGAGACTGAGGTGGGTGGATCACCTGAGGTCACGAGTTTGAGACCAGCCTGGTCAACATGGTGAAACACTGTCTCTACTAAAAATGCAAAAAATTAGCTGGGTGTGGTGGTGCATGTCTGTCGTCCCAGCAACTTGGGAGGCTGAGGCAGGGGAATCATTTGAACCCTGGAGGCAGAGGTTGCAGTGAGCTGAGTTGCACCACTGCACTCCAGTCTGGGTGACAGAGCAAGACTCTATCTCAAAAAACAAAAACAACAACAAAAAACCCCCAAAAAACTAAATGTATGACTTAAGCATATTTTTTTCTGGGTTAATTTTCCCTACTTAACGTGGTGGTAAGCTACAGGAAGGCCAGAACTGTATTTCTGTACCTGTTGTATTTGTATTCACACCTTCTGCCTCCATTATGTTAAATATGTAATCAGAATTAAAATTGAGGCTGGGCATGGTGGCTCACGCCTGTAATCCTACCACTCTGGGAGGCCGAGGTGGGTGGATCACCTGAGGTCAGGAGTTTAGAGACCAGCCTGACCAACATGGAGAAACACCATCTCTACTAAAAATACACACAAAAAATTAGCTGGGTGGTGGCGCATGCCTGTAATCGCAGCTACTCGGGAGGCTGAGGCAGGAGAATTGCTTGAACCCAGGAGGTGGAGGTTATGGTGAGCCAAGACTGCACCATTGCACTCCAGCCTGGTCAACAAGAGCAAAACTCCCTCTCAGAGAAAAAAAAAATTGAGTCAAGCCGTGCTAAATTTGCTGCATGATTTTGCAGAGATAGTTTTTTTTTGTTTTTTTTTTTTTTCTTTTTGAGACGGAGTTTCACTCATGTTACCCAGGCTGGAGTGCAATGGCGCGATCTCGGCTCACCGCAACCTCCGCCTCCTGGGTTCAGGCAATTCTCCTGCCTCAGCCTCCTGAGTAGTTGGGATTACAGGCACGCACCACCATGCCCAGCTAATTTTTTGTATTTTTAGTAGAGACGGGGTTTCACCATGTTGACCAGGATGGTCTCGATCTTTTGACCTCGTGATCCACCCGCCTCTGCCTCCCAAAGTGCTGGGATTACAGGCTTGAGCCACCGCGCCCGGCGAGATAGTTTTAACTCTTGACAACGCTTTCTTAAAAAATGAGTATCATATTAATATCTCAATCTGTAAACTTTATAAAATATATCAACAAATAAGAAAACCATTGTATTAGTTTGGGCTGCCATAACAAAATACTAGATTGGGTGGCTTAAACGACAGAAGTTTTTCAAAGTTGTGTAGGTTAGGAGGTCCAAAAGGGGGTGTCAGCATGGTCAGTTTTGGGTGAGGGCTGTCTCCCTGGCTTGCAGATGTCTGTCTTCTTCCTGTGTTCTCAAATGGACAGAGCTCTCTGGTGCCACTTTCTATAAAGACATTAATCTTCTAGGATTGGAGCCCCACCCTTATGACCTAATTTAATTTTTATTATTTTCATAAAGGCCTTGCTCCAAATAGAGATGGTCCCTGACTTAAGATTTTTTGACTTTATGATGGTGCAAAAGCCATAGGCACTCTAGAATCCGTACTTTGAGTACCCATATAACCATCCAGTTTTTCATTCAGTACAGTATTTAATAGATTATGTGAAATACTCAATACTTTATTATAAAATAAGCTTTGTGTTAGATGATTTTGCCTAACTGAAGGCTAATGTAAGTATTTTGAGCATGTTTTAGGTAGGCTAGGCTAAGCTATGATGGTTGGTAGGTTAGAAGCATTAAATGCATTTTTGACTTATGATCTTTTCAACTTATGGTGCTTTCAATTTACAGTGGGTTTATTGGAATATAACTCCTTTGTAAGTTGAGGAACATCTGTAGAGTCACATTAGGAGTGAGGGCTTCAGTATATGAATTTTAGGGGGGATGTAATTTAACCCATACCAGTAATGATAAAATATGCAAAGTTATTTAAACCCTTAGAATAAACTCAAAATTCACCTCCCTTATTCACTTTGGATGCAAATAATAGAATACAGACATAGAGTAGCTGTTGCCCAGTTTCACGGTATACTTGTCCCAGCCAACCTGAGCATAAACAGGTAAATCTGTGCCTGACCTTGTGACCCTACATATGGCAGACTGTCTTAGTCCCTTTAATGTTGCTAGAATGGAAGACCCAAAGCTGGATAATTTATAAATAAAAAAGATTTATTTGGCTTATGGTTCTGTCTGGAAAAGTTCAAGACTGAGCATCTGCATCTAATGGGGACCTGAGACTGCTTCTACTCATGGCAGAAGGCAAAGGAGAGCTGGTCTATGCAGAGATTACATGGCCAGAGAGGAAGCACGAGAAGAAAGGAAGTGCCAGGTTCTTTTTAACCAGCTCTGGCAGAAATAAAGATAACTCACTTACCCCCTCCCCAGGGAGGACATTAATCTATTCATGAAGGAACCACCTCTATGACCCAGCACTTCCCATTAGGGCCTACCTCCAACATTGGGTATCAAATTTTAACAGGAGGTTTAGGGGGACAAACATCTAAATTACAGCACAGGCCAACCACATGCATGCATTACCACTCAATTTTGAAGTTAAATGCAGAAAACTGCAAACTTTTGAGGCCGATAGCTAGGGCCAGGATTAAAGTAAAAAGTATTAATGCCTTAAAATTTACTGACCATCTACCACGTGCAAGGTCGTAGGGAGAAACTGAACAGACATGGTTCCTGATTCAATGGAGTTTACAATCTAGGTAGGGATACAGGCAAGCCATTTGAATAGCTCGGATGGAGAAAATACCTGTGCTCAAGGATACCTAACTCGGCAAGCTTCCCTGAGGAGCGACCCTAAACTGAACCACAAAGATTGTTAAGAAGAAATGAGGCGACAGGGTGTGGTGGCTTACGCCTGTAATCTCAGTACTTTGGGAGGCCGAGCCAGGCGGATCACAAGGTCAAGAGATGGAGATCATCCTGACCAACGTGGTGAAACCCCGTCTCTATTAAAAATACAAAAATTAGCCGGGCGTGGTGACGCGCGCCTGTAGTCCCAGCTACTCGGGAGGCTGAGGGAGAGAATCGCTTGAAACCAGAAGGCGGATGTTGCAGTGAGTCGAGATCGCGCCACTGCTCTCCAGCCTGGCGACAGAGCGAGACTCCGTCTGAAAAAAAAAAAAAAAAAAAAAAAAAAAAAGGTTACTGGGGTTTGCAGCACACTTACTGATGCTTCAACCAGTGGCTGGAGACCTTATAATGGGCAGACCTGGCTCCGACGATCCTCTTCATAACACTACTGTCGCTAAGACTGGAAGCTGCTCAAGCACGAGGGTACTTTTAGAGGGACCTCAGACTCAGCCGATTTTGGTCTGTGCCTCAAATTAACACAAGTCGGCCAGGCGCCGTGGCTCACGCCTGTAATCCCAGCACTTTGGGAAGCCAAGGCAGGCGGATCACGAGGTCAGGCGATCAAGAGCATCTTGGCCATGGTGAAATCCCGTCTCTGCTAAAACACAAAAAATTAGCCGGGCGTGGTGGCGCGCGCCTGTAGTCTCAGCTACTCAAGAGGCTGAGGCGGGGAATCGCTTGAACCCGGGACACGGAGGTTGCAATGAGCCGAGATCACGCCACTGCACTCCAGTCTGGGCGACAGAGCAAGACTGCTTCAGAAAAAAAAAAAAAAAAAAAAGCCACATTTCTCTCAGGTCCCAATTTCCAGGTCTTTTTATTTGTTTTTCTTTGTCCCTCCCTGCTCCTAAGCACCTTCGGCTGGGAAGACATTCTTCAGGTGCAGAAACCAGTGGGAGGCTCCCAGAACAGTGGGGGCTTAGCTCAGGACGCAGTCATTTTTGCTGTAGAGTCTCTCCTGCAGCGCTAAGGAGGAAGGCTCAAAGTAACCAGCCAGAGCAACCGCAGAGGGAAAACCGAAGACAGTCGTTGTCTGGCCCAGCGCTTCTCACCCTCTCGCTGTCTTCTCTCTTTCCGCTGCGCAGCCTCAGCGCCTTCCACACGACGAACGGCGCTTGATTGACATGTGGGCCCGCCCAATCCCAGTGCGGCACAGACTACTGTCGCGTCAGGGACCGGGAAAGGGGGCAACTGAACCTATCAGATTGGGTCGGGAGTGGGTTTCCTGCCCGCGCGGATCCGCCTGCCCACCGCGCGTGCCCCGCCCCTCTCCCGAGAACTACGCGGCGGTGGAGCGCAGGCCTCGTGCCGTTACGGCCATCACGGCGGCCGCGGCGGCGTCCCGGTGCCTTCCTCAGGTGAGCTGGAGCTAGCCGGCTCGGAAGCGGGAGGGTGAGATGGCCTTGCTGGGAGGCCAACACACACACACACCCCCGTCCTTCAGTCCGCTGCCCGTCCTCACAGCCTGTTACTCGCTGCGTCGCTTCCTCTTCCCCCGCTGAGTTTGCCCCGGGGGCGCCGTCTGCAGGCTCGCAGCTGAGCCGGAGGGGGCGCGGAGGCTGCTGGTGGCGGGACCCGGACTTCTGCACTGGGATTCCGCGAGACCCTTGGGTCTCTGCCCCAGGGAGCGGGAACCCGTGGCCTCCTTGTCAGCCCCTGGAGCGCTGCGTTCGGGTTAGAGCCCGGCGGCCGCCCCTGCGAGGCTGGGAGGTCGAGTGTGCGGCGCGCTCGCCGGCTTGTCTGTTTTCTCCTGAAAAAGTCCTGTTGCCAGCTGTGGCGTAATCCAAGGCCGGGAAGGTAGGGACGTGGTAGAAGGGAGGGCGCTCTCACCTCCAGCCTGAGAGGAGGGGGGGCGGCAGCCTGCGCGGTGCTGAGGGTGGACATCTTCGGGACGCGCCCTCGCCCCTCCCCCCACCCGCCGGCCGTTTTCTGGTCCGGGGCTTTGACTTTAAACGTCCGGACTTGCTTCACATTCGTACGCGAGTTGCTGGGGGTGTAAACTTTTGACTTGAGTTGTAATATGTTTGGTAAAAAAATTATCTCGGTAGGTTTTGTAACGTTTCTTGTATGTTAACATGTAAGTTAAATTTGCCGTTAGAAGCTGAGGAAGCTGGATTTGTTCAGGGCTTAGGACGTAACAGTAGGAAGGCTCTTGGTGTCAAACTGATGGACCTGGAGTCAACTGAAAATAATTCTACACGTTATATTAGGTAAGAAGCCTTAGGAATTGTGAAAGAATGAGGTTAAGAAGAATTTTCCAACTCCTTTTTGGGAGGGGAGCAGAGCAGCAGCTCAATGTCTGCTCCAAAACGGGTAAGTGTTGCCAAGAGGTCCTCATTTTTTTTGGTTGTTGCTGATGGTTTTTTTTTTTTTGGAGACAGAGTCTTGCTCTGTCGCCAGGCTGGGGTGCAGTAGCGCGATCTCGGCTCACTGCAACCTCTGCCTCCCGAATTCAAGCGATTCTCCTGCCTCAGCCTCCCGAGTAGCCGGGTTACCAGCGCAGGCCACCACGCCCAGCTAATTTTTGTGTTTTTAGTAGAGACGGAGTTTCACCGTGTTGGCCAGATGATCTCCATCTTCTGACCTCGTGATCCGCCTGGCTTGGCCTCCCAAAGCGCTGGGATTACAGGCGTGAGCCGCCATGCCCAGCCGAAGTACTCATTTTAAAAATCTTCCTTGGATAGACTTACGGCAAACCAACAATAACGATTTCTTCAGCACCTGGAAACCACTGTGTCTAAACTCTCGGCCTTCAGCGAGGTCACACAGTAAACGGGGAAGTAACCCAAGAAGAAGGTTTTGTTTGTTTGGTAATTGTCAACGTTTGTTCTTTTCTTTTTTTAAAACACTATTTTCTTGTGGGGATGGAGTCGGTGATGTTCTTAAATAGGCATTCCATTCACAACTTGATAGTAATATATACTGGTTAATAAATGGTACTTTCTTTTCATCTTGACCACAAGCCCTGAGGCTTTCTTCTTTGGGAACATTGTGGTCTGTGGGAATTGGCTGTAATATCCATAAAGATAGTTTGCAGAATGTTCAGATCTACTAGCTGTTGGTTCATGTATTAAATTTTAAAATGTGTACTTATTTTTCTAGGCATTATCTTTTGTCCAGGTTTCTGCAGTGCTTTCAGGTCCATGTAAATAAAACTTGAAACCTACCTGTTATGTTTTGTTAGATACTGAATGAGACCAGGAGAGGTAGTTAAAGTCTGTAATCCCAGCACTTTGGGAGGCCAAGATGGGAGGATAGCTGGAGTCCAGGAGTTTGAGATCAGCCTGGGCGATATAGTGAGACTCTGTCTTTAAATTAGAAAATTAAAAAAAAAAATTTAAAAAGGAAAATAAAGTTAAAGAAAAGTGATATTAAGTGATACTTTTTGTTTCTCGGTTTCTTCGAGATTGAGTCTTGGCTCTGTTGCCCAGGCTGGAGTGCCGTGGCATGATCTTGGCTCATTGCAACCTCTGCCTCCTGGATTCAAGTGATTCTCACGCTCAGCCTCCCCAGTAGCTGGGACTACAGGTGTGTGCCACCATGCCCAGCTAATTTTTTTTTTTTTTTTTTTTTTTTGTATTTTTAGTAGAGACGGGTTTCCACCATGTTGGCCAGGCTGATCTTGAACTCTTGACCTCAAATGGTCCGCCGGCCTGGGCCTCCCAAAGTGCTGGGATTACAGGCGTGAGCCACTGTGCCTGGCTTGGTTTCTTTTTCTTTTGGCTCTCTGAGAACTTTCCTTTCAAAGCTGAAGGTATGTTTGATGTGATTATTACAAATCACTTTTCAGGAAGAATTGACTTAATGAATACAGATGCAGTTCTTTTTTTTTTTTTTTTTTTTTTTTT